CGAGAAGTGAGGGGGCAGAGAGGAGGGGCTGCTCCAGGAGGGTCCCAGGCAAGGAAGGTGGGCTTGGAGTCCCACCTGGACACCCTGGACCCTGCATCCCCACACAGGCACTCTACAGCAAAGCTGTTCCTCTGCATGCAAACCCAGCGCCACTCCCACAACCTATGAGTGACATGAGATTGTGCTTTTTAAAGATAACTTGGGAGACTTAATAGAAAACACATTGGAGAAAGGCAAGAATGGATGTGGGGAGACGTTATGTGGCTATTACAGTGAATCAAATGAAAGGTGACAGTGGCTTAAATTGAGGTTGTAGCCACAAAGATGATGATGGTGACCTGTTCTCATAAGATCCATGTTTTCCTGTAGCAGCATGTGCCTCAAATTGTGAAGGTTCATTCATTAGTGTGAGTCCATGTCAGTCTCACTCTTGACCAGGAAGCCCTATGAAAGCAGGGAGCACCTGTGTTTTGGGATATACTAACACCCTAGGCTATGCCAGCATGGTGCCAGACACATGGGAGGACCCAATAAACATTTGTGGGGTGGATGATGGAGTAATTCAGAACCCTCTCCCAAATGATCTCATTCGCAGCCATGGCTTCAACCACCAGATGGTTGGACTGACCTCACTCAAATGTCTATGACCAAACTGGTTTCTTCCTCCAGAATTATGAATCCAAGGATCTACTCAGCATTTCCATGTGAAGATCTTAATGTGTCTCAATTGTCCTCCAGAGGTCCAAAACTGAGCTTGCGAACTCCCCACTCCCCAGTGAATTTCTCCTCCAGTGTTTTTCATCTTAGAGAATGAGACCCTGACCACCCAGACCAGGGATGCCATTATTCACACCTCCCTCTTCCTCATTCCTGAATCTCCTGTTATTACAAAAGCCTTTCATTTCCATCTCCTCAGTTCTATGGATTATAATCACTTCTCTCCATTGATTGCAGTGGTTAAGAGTGCAGGTTTTGGAAGTACATTGCCTAGGTTTAAAAGAAAGCTTCACCCCTTACTTGCAATTTGCTTAAATCTTCTGCTTAGTTTCCTTATATATAGTGGAAATAATAACAGTTTGTGCTTTATTGGGTTTTTTCGAGAAGTTAATAAGATAATTCATATTACTGCTTTCCAATGCGCTGGCTGCCATGACCACTACCACCATCACCATCATCAGTCACCATCACTATCACTCTCTCTATGGCTATAATCTTAATTTAAGCTACTGTCACCTCTCATTTGATTCACTGTAATAGCCACCTCACATTTCCCCACATCCACTCCTGCCTTCCTTCAATGCATTTTCCATTATGTAACCCAAGCGATCTTTAAAAAGCATGATCTCATGTCATTCATAAGTTTAAATTATATCAGTGGCTTCCCACAAGAGATGGAATAACAACCAAAATGGTTAACATGGTTCAAATAACCCAACTTCAACAATTCTTAGTCTCAAACCTGCTATGTGCCTTCCCACTTCAGGGCCTTGATATATACCGTTCCCTCCGCAGTGAACACTGTTCCTTTAGCCTTCCCTTTTTTCTTTTCCTTCTTGGTCAAAACCTCTCTTAAGTGTTCTGCCCCATCTCTGCACTAAAATTGTCCAAACGAAGATTATTCATGGCACCTGCTGCTAAAGCCATACACTTATTTCTAACCTTATTTGCTGTCCTTTCTGAGCATCTAACATAGCAAGCCACTATTTTCCTTAAAGCCCCCTCTGCCTTGAGTTCCCCACACTCTATTCTCCTAGTTCTCTTGCTCCTTTTTTGACTGACTCTTGTTTTTCCCTTCATTTGCTGCTCTTTCTGTATCAGCTTTTTAGAAGTCAATTTCCTCAGGTTTCCTACCTGGATCCTTTTTCGTTCTATTCTACTCATTCCTTCTGGGTGATTTTACCGATTTGCATGGCATCCATTGCATGACACCCAAATCTTGTCTCTAGATTCTTTTTCCCTGCTGAGGTCTAGACCCATGTTCCTCCATGGGGGTGTTTCATAAACACTTTAAACATAAGGCGCGTAAATGAAATCTCAGAACACCTTCCCTTTCTATTTGGATCTCAATGAATAGTACCAACACCCATTTAGTCGTCCAGGAAAAGCCTGAGTCATTTTTCTCTCCTTCCTTTCTTTCCTCCATATATCTAATCATCAAATTCTATTGACTCTGCCTCCTTGATGGACTCAATTCTGTTGACTTCTCTCTATTTCCATTGTCACTCCATTAGTCCAGGTCCTCATTATTTCCCTCTTGCGATGCGACCACAGACTCCTAACCCATCTCCCATTCACTGGTCTTTTTTTCCCTCCAATCCTTTTTTCTCTGCTGTCAGAGTTTAGGGGAAAAAAATTCCCTAAATGATTGTCCAGAGATCTAGTGGTATAGCTTTTGAAAGAAGGATTTCTGTAGGCAAATAAATTGCTTATTTAAGAAAATATCACCTCTGTGGCCCCTCTCAGTGACTGACCAGGTATATCAGACCATTTAAGGTTCTGAGAACTCTTGCTGCAAAACAATCTGTTCAGAACTGTTTAACCAAGCATTTCCCAATCTTTCTGACCACACATTCCCTTCCTGAGGGCATACTTCTTAACATCTTGCAGAACACCATCTTCCTGTTTTAAAACGCAAATCTGATCATCTTACTACTTTATTTGAAAATAAGACAGATACCTGGATAGACACCAAAAGATGACAATTCGCACTTTATGCTCTGGGCAGTTAGAAACACTTGGAGATTCCTGAGCTGGGTAATAACCTAATACCCACATAATCAACAGCCTCCAGTTGTGGGTGCTGCTATGTGCTTTGTGCTTCTCACCCATCACCTCCAATCCTTATGGCATGATGATCCCCGGGTGAGGAGGTGAGCATGACATCTGCGTGAGGAGATGGAAACCCAGATCAGTTAAGCATCAGGTCCCAGGCCACAGAACCAGTAAGGATGGAGTAGGACTTGGCAAGAAGTCTAGGTGGCTTTAAGGCTATAGCTGTTTGCAATAAACAGGCGACATTTTGCCTGCAGGGACATTGGGAGCAGGAAAAATCAAAAGGCTTGGACATATTCCTAGAAGTCAATCACTTCTGTTCTCCACCTCTTCCCCCCAACCCCAGATACTGCATCAAGCCATTCTTCTTAAGCCTGGGTCTCATTGCTTTTTCCGTAGGCCTATGGTGTACTTTCACCCCTTAAACATCCAGCAGGGTATCATACAACTACAGAAACATCTTGCCCCTGCTTAAAAATATGTGTTATTCCCCAATGCCTGCCCAGTTCCAAATTTCTGTGCCTGATATTGTAGGACCTTCATTCTCTGCTGTCAACTTTACTTTTTGATCTTGGCTTTAGATATTTTTCTAAATATAATCCATACTCCAGTCAAAATGAACTACTTACTATTCAGAGGCTTCCCTGTCTTTCTTCATGCTGTTCCATCCTCTTGGAAAGCCTCCTCCTGTCCCCAGTGTCACTGCTTTAAATCCTACCTCTTTTTCAGGACCCTTTTCACTGCTGACTCCATGAAGCATGTCCTAATCTGAACCAACCAGCTGCTCTCTGTTTTTCAGCACAAAAGAACAATGAGGTGCTCTTCTCTAAACTTGGAAATCAGGTTAACTTCTGAAAATTAAACTAGTAACATTCACAGTGGATGGCATCAGCTTTTTGCAATTATATACCCAAAGGAAGACTCATGAAGTGGATAAAGATATAGAAAAATGTCCTCCTGGAGGAAGATGACCAGGGCTTACTCCCAGGACACAGTTGTGCCTCTATGTCAGAAATCATAAGATGAGCAAACAAGGCCCTAATCAAATCAGTTACAGGAAACAGAGAGAGTCAATCAAACCATAATCAATGTTGATAACTGGCCCTGACAGTGACCTAATCAATTACACTGTGCTCTGGTTGTGGAAGAGCAGCATGAACTATAGCAGACAGAAGGCAGCCAGGATGTTGAGGCCAGGGTGCAGCAGCACTAACTAAAGGAGAAATTCAAGGAGTCTGGGGACACTGGCTTTCAGGACATGGGAAGTGTTGGCCATGAGCTGGAGATAGCTCATCCCATGTCCTCAGACCTGATTAGCTTTCCGGAAAGTTCCTGCTTCCTTTGTTCAAATTACCAACTAAGCAACCTTCTGAGAACCAATCTGGCTTTCCCTCCCATCATCAGAAAGGGGTGCTATGGGCAGAGGCAAGGTATGTCCTCAGTGTATCTACTCACGGGGATGCTGGGAAGATTTCATGGAATAATGTGTGTACAGGGATTGGCCCAGGCTCCACACCGTAATTGTTCAGTAAATGTAGGTGACTGAGATTAGCTCAGCATGGTGGAACTCTGCTTATGATGAGCATTTCACATACATTTGGTTAAGGCGAACTAGCGTCCTGAGGTCCAGGTGTCCTGATGAAGGTGGGTACCTGGACCTGCAAAACAGATGTTGTGATTCTGGGCAGGAGTGAGCAAAGGGATGTGTTACCAGGTAGGGCTCATCAACCCTTACCTGGCCCAAAGCGTCTCTACTTCATTATCATCCTCTAAGCGCCCATGAACGCCTCCTTCCACATGCTCAGCACACAAGTCTTAGACCAGTTTTGTTCTATTTTTCATGCAACTACTTGTGTATCTCTAATTTCTATTTCACCAGAGTGTAAATTCTTTGAGGATAGGAGTTTTTAAGTCCTTCACAGAGCTTCAAGTCTCATAAGTACTTGGTAAGTTGAAATGAATTGAATTAGAGGCAAAAAAAAAAAAATGGTCTGGGGTTCAAACAAAGACCACAACACGTCTTTCCCAGGTTCCTCGAGAAGCAGTATGCAGATCCCTGGAGAGAAGGCATGGTGATGCAGGCTGGGCACATCTCTCTGATGCCACCTCACCTCTTCCACCCAGGGGTGGATATGGGAAAGCCATGAGGTTGCAGGAGAGCTGCTCAGCTGCCCAGGAAGAAGACAGACGGACAGACAGATGGACAGAGCAGACGCCTTCACACTTACCCGGATCTCCGTCTGGACAGTGCATTTGACCAGTTTGAAATTCTTCCCGGGATTGAAGCTGTTGCTATAGAAGCAGACCTTGAGGATACGCACGTCTTCCTTTTCCACATCTACTGGTACCACCACCATGGGCTCTGCGGGGCCTTCAGGCCGGCGTAATGTGCCCAATTTTACTCGACTCAGGGGCTCGGACACCCCAGACATCCTCTCAGACAGCAGCTAAGACCGGCGCATCGCAGTCCTGCAGAGACAGCAGAGGGTCAGCCCTGAAAGAGCCCGCACAGGCCCACACACCTTGTACACCAGGAACAGCATCCATCGAGCTCCAAGACCGACACAAATGCTATATATTCCATACTCGCAAAAGCTCCCCTGCAAGGCACCTGGTTCTCTAGGCTGGGAAAGCTGCAGCGGGAAGGGGCAAGTTTCAGAAGCATCCAGGTATAAAACCCAGACGTAGAGCTTTCATGCCTGGGCTCTGTCTCCTGGAAGCCCTTCTCTCTGACCCATTCCTCCCTCCATACTGGCACCCAGGCAAGGGGCCCACACTTAGCAAAGGCAGCTGTGAGAGGAGGCGGTCACAGCTTGGTTCCAAGGTACAGCTGAGCAGAAAAAGCAAAGAGCGAGACAGTAGAAAATAGCAGGAGAGGAACAGGGACGGGGGAAAAGCCGAGAAGAAACAGAATGGGAGAACGGGGGTGGAGGGCCCAAGGGAACGGGAATGGAGAAGTCAGGAAAGGGCCCAGGTGGAGGGCCAAGCTGTCAACTGATGCCGTCCACCTCCACCCTCAGCTGCCAGCAAGAACTTTCAGGGTGGGAGGCCTCTGTCCGACGGGAACCCAGCACTTAGAACATCACTCATCACATGCAGAAGGATTCAAGAGGAACAGCGCTCTGTGCAGCAGCTCCGCAGGGAAGGGCATTCTGCACGTGGGAGGGAGGGCACCTAGAAGACCCAGTCCAGTTATAGCCTGGGTTAACACAGACATAGACGATGAGAATCCTAGGAATGTGTAGTTCACCTGGAATCTCAGCAACATTGGTCCTGGCCTCTAGATCCAGCACAACTCAGGAGAGTTTATCTCCTACTGATCTAAAGCAGGGAATGCTCAAAAGAAGAAGTGGAAGTTCTAGCTCTGGATGGGTGGCATCAGCATTGGCTCCATATAATCCCTGGGAAGCTTTCAGAAACCCTAAACCAAGCACTGTCCTCAGAGACTGCCATAAAATTGGTCTGGGTTGAGCACTGACATATTTGTTGCCCAGGATTTTTCCAATGTTTGGCCTGAGTTGGAAACCACTGTTCTAGAATGAGCTTAGCTCTTATCCTGAAACCCCTTCTTAAACAAAAAATATCCCCTTTCTAAGAAGAGACTGTGATTTTAGCGGGGGGATTCCTTTTTGACCCATCATTTAGTTGGGAGCAAAATGATGGAGTTGGCAACGTGAAAATACCAACATGGAGTCACATATTTGAAAAGTGGAATGAGAGCCTATATTTATTTATTTATACTGTACTAGATGCTAGGAAAGAAAGATTTAGATAGCCATTTGCTTCAAAGAGCCATTCCTTTTTTAAAAAGTGAATGTGTCTTATGAAGATGCAAAAAGAGGCAAGGATGAGAGGAGCTGGGCACGTCCTTCAGGTCAGGGGCAGGAGGACAATAGGCAGCACCAAGCACAGAGTCCACAGGGGTAGCAAAATGTAGCATAAGGCCTACAGAGAGAAGAATATGCATCTGCTTTTAGATATATATATTCTTATCTAAAAGATGTATATATTCTAGAAATATCTGTCTATTCTAGAGGTATCTGTACCATTTTCCAACAAACATCTGCTGGACATGTCCTGTGTGCCAATACTGTGCTATGTGGTGAAGATGTATTGCAGATCCCCTGGAGGAATCTTCCGGGCTCCTGGAATACCTCTTCACTACATAGGAATCCAGGGGAAGTCGTTTGAGAGGTAACCCCAGGAAACATCAGAGAAATGATGGCAGGGAGCGGAAAATGGTCAAAAGAGTGATCAAGTGAGTTATCACTTGGGAAACTGCAGTTTAACCATGCTGGGAACTCTAGGCCAGGATAGAATGTACCCCACCCAGAGAGGGAGGGATCTGGGGTATTTATACACCATTCTTAGAGTCATTGTTCCAGCACATCCAGCCAGTTCTACATAAGGGAGGGCTGAGAACATCCTCAGGCACAGAGGTGCAGAGCTGGCAGCAGGCGGGTGGAAGAGAGAACTGCACTGAAATGGGACGGCCCAGGGGGACAGAGGATCTCAGGAGAACACAGGTCTCAACTCCATGCCATCTTCCCTCGCACTCATCTTGCCTGTGTCCTGGTCCCAGCTCATTTTCTGACTGGCCTTAAAATCTTGTGCAAGTACCTTAACCTCTCACAGCCTCATTTTCCTCCCCTATGAAGTAGCGTAATGCTGCCTACCCTGTTTTCCTTACAGAAGGGTGGTGAGGATCAAGTCAGAAAACGTGAGTTAGTTCATTGTATCTGACCAAGTGGGACACCAGCGAAAGGCTTGATCATCATGACTATTTTCACTTGTCTTTTTTCCAAAATCTTGTCTGATGACCTGTATTCCCTGTATCTTGCTCCCCTTCTGCCTGTGCTCCAGAGGAAAAAAAAAATTCTACTTTGCAACACTTGCCAATTTCTGTGGTATAAAAATTCCTACCATAACTGACCTTCAGGTACCAATGCACATCACTGAACGCTGAGTTAGGAAGAGATGAGAACCACCTGCTGACTCCAGCTCCTGTTCTTGATAGCAGAACTTGCTCATGCCTCCAAATTTTGTCTGATTATTTGAATTCCTCATCAACAGTCTATCTCCGGCCTTTAATGATCACAAAATCCTCTGATGCTCAACTCATGAGCCAAAAGCCCTGCCCCTTTCTCCAGACCTTCTTCCTGGCTCTCCAAGCCCTGGCATTCATTCTGTCCTCCCTGCTTCCTGGTCTGCCCCAGACCTTCGGAGCAGAATCAGAGGTGGCTACATTTTGTGACACTAGTGAAAACCCTGGCTCCAAGCCATCCTGGGCTTTGGTTTGCCTCCTGGCCCCCAAATCTGCCAAAGTCAAAGTCAAAGAATAACAAACACAAGGAAATGGGCTCAAATTAAACAGGAAAAGTTCTGATTGGCTGTAAGAACTTCTGGGCCAAAATCTGCAAAGGGTACTACGGGAGGCTGGACAATCTCCGAGTTCTTAAGATCTTCAGGAAGAAAATAAATTATGTTCTTCCTGAATGGCGAGACATCGACCTGCCTGCAGGAGGGGGAAATGAAGCAACATTTAACTCCCTTCTAGATACACCAGGTTGTAACTGTACCTAGTACTATGCACCTGGCACAGGGGAGATGCTAGGGTTACAGAAACAAATATCGCAGGAAAACTTAACTCTTGCCCTTGAAGACACTGTAGGGTAATGTTACACATTTTGTATTCAATAAACAGCTTAGCCTCTGGGAGAGGTAGACACCAGAGGGGATGCTGGACATCCCAAACATAAAATGCATGGTCTTGAGAACTCAAAGTTCTGTTCCTGGCCAGGCACAGTGGCTCACAACTTTAATTCTAGCACCTTGGGAGGCCAAGGTGGGCAGATTACTTGAAGTCAGGAGTTCAAGACCAGTCTGGTTGACATGGTGAAACCCCACCTCTACTAAAATTACAAAAATTAGCCAAGTGTGGTGGCGCGTGCCTGCAATCCCAGCTACTTGGGAGGCTGAGACAGGAGAATCACTTGAACTCGGACGGCAGAGGTTGCAGTGAGCCAAGATGGCGACACTGCACTCCAGCCTGGGGAAAAAGAGCAGAACTCTGCTTCAAACAAAAAAAAAAAGTTCTCTTCCTGATTTGAGAGTGTGTGGAAAGGGGACCATTAGTCAGAAAGGCTGTATGATGTCAGAGAGAAGGCACATACATTTGACTCATTCAAACCTGGGTTTAAACTGCTGTCTTTGGGGCTGCCAAGCCATACAACTAGGCCATTACTCACAATGGACTTTGGAGTGTGGCAACATGGCCGCCTGAAGTCTCTGCCACGAACCCACTATGTAATCTGGAGAAGATAATCTCTGCAGGCCTCAGTTTCTTCCATTGGGGCATGAGGCCATTATTACTTCTCCTGCAGAATTTTCTGGAGGATCAGAGGTTACTTCTGTAAACTCCTTGGCACTTTCATTTTTTAAGTGTCCATGGCAGAAGAAAGAATTGGAAATATAATACTAAGACCCACTTTTTAATTTTTAAACTTAAATTTAATTATTATTATTTTTTTAGAGATAGGGTCTTCCTCTATTGTTTAGGCTGGAATGCAGAGATGTGATCATAGCTCACTACAGCCTCCAACTCCTGGGCTTAGGTGATTCTCCTGCCTCAGCCTCCCAAGCAGCTGGGACTACAGGTACATGCCACCATGCCTGGTTAAATTTTGTTTTTTTTTTTATAGTGATAGGGTCTCTCTATGTTGCCCAGGCTGGTCTTGAACTCATGGCCTCAAGTGATCCTTCCTCCTCAACCTCCCGAAGTGCTGGGATTACAGGTATGAGCCATCATGCCTGGCCTTTAAGCCTTACTTTAAAAAAAATCTAAACTGACATTCCACCAAGTCCTGCATTCCACCATGCACCTGCCCCACCTCCACAGATCACCCCTCCCTCTCCTCTGCTCCTGCACAGTCCCCTGCCTGTCCCAAGAGCACCACAGGCGCCTGCCCGTGGAAGGAGGCCTCCCAGGAGACAGTCAAGTGCAGCCCTTTGGATCTAGCAGAAGTCAGAATGTCACGAGACACACACTTTATTTCCACTCCGCCTTTGAGTCACTTCCCCTTGCTGTTTCCACATCAACAAGATGGAGAACGCAGCCCTTTCCTATTCCAAAGGCCTGCTGAGTACAGCCACTTAGCTAATTGGCAATGACCCTGCAGTCTCAGGGAGCTGGTCTTAGGTTTCTGGGCAAGGCTGGGCCCTGCTGGCTCCTCACAGCACCCCTCCCCAGCCCTCACCCCCTCACCCCTTGGTTCCTGCAGGGCTAGCATTCTGCCTGCTCCACGGCCCTCCAGTCCAGCATTCGCTAAATCCCCTTCCTCCTCCCCAAACCTTTCTCCCCATTGCCTTGCAGAGGAGGGAACCAGAAGGTTGTGATTATTGCCAGCTATAATTCAAAAGGCATTTGTTGAGACTCTACCACTTTTTCAGCTCCCCACCCCCGCACCCAT